AATATATAAAAAAAGACAATTTTTTTATTTTTCGAATGGTGCATCCCTACATCGAAGGTTTTTGTAATTCGACGCCGGTGGGGGACGCGGGTCCCCTGTCCGCGCGTGGGACCATTTTTAGCGGGATTGTATACCCCCCAAGTGGTAAGTGTCACCTTTCAATGACCAGGAACTATCTTCCAAGTAGTTAGAAGTACCTTACAACAACTGCGATCGCCCTTCGAAGGCTTGACTTGTCCCTTTGCAAACAGAAATCACCTTCAAGTTGTTTAAAAATGATCATATCTGCGGAAGATGTGGTACAAGTACCACCCTTTCGCTGATAGGATCACCCTCAAACCACTTGAAGGTGTTCCTGTCCGCAAAGGGACAAGTCTTACCTGCGAGGGGCGATCTTGGCTGTTGAAAGGGACTTCTTACCATTGGAAGACGGTTCCAGCCATTGGAAGATGACCCTCACCGTTGGGAGCTATTCGCACCCGTTAGAAATGGTCCCCCGTTGTCCGCGACGATGATCTCCCACGATGAGATGTCCCTGCAAAAGAAAGGAGAATATTAACCTACATAAAAATCAAGTAGAAATTAGAAAAAGTAAAGAAAAGTAAATACTAAAAAAACAAGTAATTAAAAGCTTACCTCGATTGAAACGCGTCCTGATGTCCTTGAAGTGGTCCAGGGGTTGGTGACGAACTTATGATGATGGTTCATGTTCCTCCAGTGGATGATTCTGTAAAAGGTTCTCAAATTAGTGAAAGGAAAAGAATTTACAAGGTGAAAGTAAATAAAAAGAAGTATTAATATACATAAAAAAGAAAGGAAAGCATTAAAACAAGTTACAGTAAAAATAAAGAAAGAAAAGTAATTAAAAAAAGAATTTAAATAGAGATCAAGTAGAAATTAAAAAAGGTAAAGAAAATAAATACTTAAAAAACAAGTTATTAAAAGCTTACCTCGATTGAAACACGTCCTGATGTCCTTAAAGTGGTCCAGGGGTTGGTGATGAACTTATGATGATGGTTCATGTTCCTCCAGTGGATGATTCTGCAAATGGTTCTCAAATTAGTAAAAGGAAAAGAATTTACAAGGTGAAAGTAAATAAAAACAAGTATTAATATACATAAAAAAGAAAGGAAAGCATTAAAACAAGTTACAGTAAAAATAAAGAAAGAAAAGTAATTAAAAAAAGCATTTAAATAGAGATCAAGTAAAAATTAAAAAAGGTAAAGAAAATAAATACTTAAAAAACTAGTAATTATTAAACTCACCTCGATTGAAACGCGTCCTGATGTCCTTGAAGTGGTCCGAGGGTTGGTGATGAACTTATGATGATGGTTGATGTTCCT